GATATGGACGTCATGAAAGAAGACAGTGGCCATAATAAAACTTGGGAGGAATGGAAACAAGCTATTCAGACCAGGTTTGGAAATGCTCAATGGAGGTCTTACATGGAGAGACTATTCATGAGAGACAGATTCAAACCAGAAATCCATTCTGATTGTGTAAAATGGGCTTCAAGGCAACAACAGCGGTTTAGATCATTTAGACCAAATGCAGACTCATCTGAAGTAGCTGAAAAAGTACTTTGGCAGCTACCCAGCACAATCAGAATCCCGGTCCAAAATAGAATTGGTCCGGATAGTAGTTGGACAGATTTCACTACTGAAATGAAAAGTATTAAGTCTTGCAATACCTGTGGCAGTACAGATCCTCAGCATGTTTGGCGAACATGTAAAGGGAAAGGGATAGCCATAAATGCAGTTGAAGCAGAGGAAGATAGACAAGAAGATGAAAATGAAGGAGCAGGTGATACAATGGAATTTGTAGAATATGAGGATAGTGAATCTGAGATGGAGTCTCAACACTAAGATCAAGAAGTTCATGCAGGGGAGTGTATACCAACAAATAAAGTTAATCATGCCAAAGTAATGACTCCACACATTTAGAGCATCGAAAAGAGATCATAAACCTTGAGAAGGCGTATGACCTCTTCTGGTGGTGGGGAATGTCAGCCCTGAGTACTAAACCAGAGTACCAATGGGCGACGTATTATAATAAAAACCTTAAAAAATAGCAATTACAACTCAAGGCTCAGTTTCAAGAGTCAAGTTACATATGATTTAGCATATGTAACATGTGCAGAACTTAAATCAAAGGGTGTGAACATACATAACTTTGATGCAAACCAAAGCTACATATATTTCACAGCCGTAACACATATGTAACAAGTGAAATATACTTATAATACAATAGTAACTGTCTTACTGTAATTAACCTAACCATAGAACCACAATTTGTGCGCACTTGTAGTCCAAAGATTTCCAAGGTTCAGACTATATAAACCCTGGAAATCCAACCAAATTGAGAAGAAGAACATTGTCACATTATTATTCAACAACTACACAACTTTGCTTTTATTCATCTTCCTAGAACCTTTAAACTTTGCTTTTCAATAACCAAACTTTAAAGGCCTGATTCTACGAACCTGGAAACTCAAACCTTGTGTCTTGTTGCTTACTCTGTGTGCTCATTCAACTTTGTTTCTGATTAGACTCCATAATCAGTATTTCTGGTAATATCCATTTGGTGGAATTACTTGTAAGGAAGTAGTCCTTGAGTATTGCTCATATCAGATTTGGGATTCATCTGATATAAGAAACTCTAAATCTACGGGGAAATCTCTATTAGTCAGAGTGTAAAGTTCCCGGTGTTATAATAGACCTTAACACCACTTTCTTTGACCTTTCTTAGAATAGAAGAGGATCAAATTAGGATTGAGAACTGTGCGTCAGTTGCTCTTCTTTTTAATTATTGTAAAGACAATAATTAACCCAAAATCCCTGGGCTAAAGCCTTTGTTTAAAGGTCAACTAACTGCAGTCTTTACTTGTTTATTGCAAGTAAAGCTCTTACGCCCACGTCTCTACCCATTCACACTTGTAGATCTTGATCTACACGACTTTAGTAGAAGTTATTAGACTTTCTACAACATTTTTATTGACTCTACTAGCCTAACAGACGCTAGTAGGCTCACACAGGCCAGCGCACAAGCCATAGCGGAACTCCGCGAGCAACAAAGTCAAACCAACCAAGCGTACCACCAGCAATCGTTGGAACTGGCAGACGCGAGAAACAGGATCCAACACCTAAAGATACAGAACGAGACTCGACACCAGAAACCTGACGCCTTCCCGAGCAGAACCTAGAAAGTTCGAAGGGTATGGGGACAACGCACAGCTTTGGATTCTCGACTTGGAATCAAACTTCCGCCTCCATTGATACCCAGAGGAACAGTGGGGTGAAATGCTGGGCGCTTACCTAGATGAAGAGTCAAAGATGTTCTGGTATAAAGTCAGAGAAGACATGGGTGGTTCAGTCACCAACTACGAGGAATTCCGACGCAAGTTCCTCAAAAAATACAACTTTGCCCTGACTTTGGACGAGTTAAGAGAAAAAATCAAGTTCTGTTACTACAAAGGAGACCTAAATGAGTATATCCTGCGATTCAGATGCCTCACCTGCCAGATGCCCCTTGATAAATACTCCTTCCTCGACCGAAAATTTGCCTTCTTGGACAAACTTCCGGTGGCCATTCGAGAACATGCTAACAAAATCGAATTCCTTGAAAAAGAAGATATGGAAGTAATTTTCGCGGCAGCCAGAGAGAGAGACCGTAACATCAAAGTCAACAACCGAAGCTTTAAAGCCACCGACAACAAGTTCTTACCTGAACAAAAATCCAGTCACCACCACTCTACTAGAAGCTCCTTCCACCATAGACCGTCCACCTTTGTACGACCGCCCCAAGTCAGCAACAGCTCAGGACCTATGGATTTGGATTTGATGGACAAACCAAAAATGAAGGTAACTTTTGAAACAGAATGTTTCAAGTGCCACGGACACGGCCATGTCGCAAGAGAATGCCAAAATTCAAAAAAGCCCTTTAAACCGAATTTCAAGAAACCGACCTATTCCAACGGCGACCGTCAAAAACAAAGTTTATTACTAATGGATTTAGAACCTGAAGAATCCTCAACAATGGAGGTAACCCCGTTCCTAGCCCCTGATGGAGCAATGGTCAGATCTTCAAAAGAATCAAGTCTCAGTCTTGACGGACCCGGACTCGATGGCCGAGAAGATCTTAGGCTAAAAGTAAAAAATTACAAAGAAATTCTTAAAACTCCCGGTTATCAAGAAGAGCTCAGAAGAGAACGTGAATCTCTAACTAGATTATTCCAAGAACAGGCAGAAGATTTATCCTACCAATGCTGTAAGTCCTGTCTCATCTTTGGGAACGAAGACAGCCCAGAAACAGTATCTAAAGGTATTGATTATTTTAATCTAGACGCCGATAAACTTAACAACCTTGTTGGGGCCATTCGAAGAAGACCCCGAAGAACAAGGCAGCAAAGATAAACCAACCCTTGTTCACTCTAGTCCTCGACTCACATCAGGTTACTCAGGATACATGGGAATCCCCATTCCTGGGTACAAATCAGAAACACCGCCTGAACTTACAAACATCGACATGTATAATCTGCCATTCTCACCCAGTTCCCCGGACGAAAGACCAAACAAGGACCAAGATTTACATCTCTTATCCCTAAGTAAGAATGTTCTCACTTACCCCGAGATTAAGATGGACGGTAGACGAATTGACGGGTACGGCTTTACAGACACACCTTTCCATTCACCCGTAGAAGAAAAAGATAGAGAAAAGTTAGGTGAAGAGGAATTGGAACATGTAGAATCATGGAATAGGATCATGAGCCAAAGCAAGAAGAAACCGCGATGGACTGGAGGTTACGCTGTTAGTGGGCCAAAGGACTTAGGAGAGTATGACGGAGAAGCCGTCCTATGGCTAGAAGAAGGTGAAATATACGAAAACCAGGCCTTACAGCTCAACATCGTCGATTTAGCAATTCAGAGCAATTCAAGCTCATCTCTTCCTACATACTTGAGCCATTTTAGAAACTACCCGTTGGCCACCATCCTGGATACAGGTGCGGCGGCGAATTACATCTCTGAAAACAAGCTAGAGAAGATGATGGAACTCGATCCCAGAAGGATAAAGATCGAGAATACCCACGGTCAGAAAGTTAGACTAGCGAATGGAGCCCATGAGATTGCAAGCAAAACTGCTACCTTCGAACTAGAAATCGACGACTGTGCCAACGGAGGATTTTTTAGATTCAACGTTATGGCTTATGTACTACCTTTACCAAACGTGGAGCTAATACTAGGCATGCCGTGGTTTAAAGAACATAAACCTAAAATTAACTTCGATAATATGGAATACGAAATACAAAAAGAAGACCGTACTTACAATTTCATCCCATTGCCTACCAGCAACAATCTATACACGATGGCCTTGGATGTGTTGCATAGTATACTGGAAAAGAGTGCACGCTAAATGGCACCAGAATGCTTCGAAGAAGAAATTGAACAAATCGACCAAAAACATAAGCATTTCATAGATACCGGTGATAGCAGCCCAATTAAAACGCACGGTCAACCCTTGACGCCTCCCAAACACCAACTTATTGGTCAGTTTATGGACGAAGGCCTTGAACAAGGCATCATCGAAAAAACCGACTCACCCTGGAGTTCGCCTTTGCTACTCGTAAAGAAACCGGATGGGTCAACAAGTGTTTGTGTAGATTATCGTGCCCTGAACAAGGTAACGAGGAAGAATGCCTATCCGCTACCACGCATCGACGACGCATACCAGTTTCTATCAGGCGCAAAACATTTTACCACGATTGACCTTAAATCTGGGTTCTGGCAAGTACCGATGGCTCCTCAGGATAAAGAGAAAACAGTGTTCACTTGTCGACAAGGTCATTACCAATGGTGCGTAATGCCGTTTGGGCTATGT